CCGGCACTTTTCGCTTCCAGAATTCTAACAGAAAGTTGACCCCGAGAATTCAAGTTCCGTCGCCCGTCACACACTTAATTTAACGCAGTAGCGTACTCCCTCAGAAACAAACACGTAATCATGTCGTCTGCTAGCAAGACAAAACCGGTTGTGAAACTTTGTTACTTATCAGAGCCTTTTTGTACTGAGATGACAGAAAAAGTATTCATGGTTAGATATTGACAAGACAGAATGCTTACAAAAAAAAATAACTTACTTTCTATAAAAAAAAAAAAAAACTGTAACCTCACGTCGAGTCCTCATGAATTTGTCTATAACAACGCCCCTAGCAATGGTTTGTTTGGAGCACAGCGCCGCGTTGTGATGTCATCAATTACGGGGTCAATTTATATACCGGAAATACTCTTCCCTAAATGTTTCTGGACCGGTGCAGGAGGTGCCTGTAAATATCGAACGAGCATAGTGTCTCTCTGTCGCGACGTCAGGTGCGTCTAGTCCGGCGTCTCACACAGTCTGCTTGTCTTGCAAGCAGACTCGCGGCAGCCTCCGGCGTCGTGTGCTATTCCACCACCGGTTATCAACGTCTGAAACGCCTGCAAGACGCGGCTATAAAAGTAGCGCGTCCGCGTCCGCCATCGCTTGCCTCTATCTACTATTCCACCCCCGTCCTAAAACCGTTTGCAAAACTTGAAAAATGCCACCACGAAAGCGGCGTGCTAGCGCTCTGTCAGGCACTAGCCATGATTCCATACAAGCGTCGGTCAACGCCTTCCTAATCTGCAATGAAAAGCGACCGAAAGGAGTAGAAAAAACAACAAATTAACTATGCAGTCCTTTCAGCTCTTCTGTCCTGGTTTTCTTGCATACAGTCCTCGAACAACTTGGGGGAGCGTCATAACGCACAATTCAAACGCGACGTAGAAATATTTCATCGAGCAAGCCATGCGCACTGCTAAACACTTTAGATCTGTGGGCCTTCCGTAGCGAAGTGGCAAAAACATACCTAGACAAAGCTTATGCAAGGCCAACACCCGATTGCTTCCAGCAAAATGGCTCGCAAATTCGTACCTGTGTAGGTATCTTTCTCGGTATCAAACCATGGTTGCAACCACGAGGGTTATAATATACAGAGCAGCGGGGCTGCTTTTACGGGAGCTAAAATCTTTATTCAGCATTAACACGCACAAACGTACAAATCAAGCCAGATCGAGCAAAAATAGTCGATGTGAGACGCCATGCCAGTCCCGCTACGACAAGCTCCCGCACAGCAGTTCTGAAGGCGCGCTGCAAACTATTTAGGTTGAGATCTTTCTCTAGACATCTCGGTGAACGCGAAACAACTCGCACTCATAAAAGCTTAAGAACTCCCCCCCCCCCCCTCACAAAAAAAAAAAAAAAAAAACGAAAACAACAACAACAACGAGAGTTGTTGTTGTGCTTTTTTCAGCCCAAAATTACACCTATGCATTGCCGAGCGCTCATTCTCCGCCGAAATGAAGCGCTAACAGTCCGAACGAGATGCCAAAGTTTTAGCACTAACAATTATTATTTTATTGAAAGTTAATACGTGATTTTCTGAAACTTTCAATGGAAAAATAGGGCTTTTTTTCTGCCCCGTTTTTTTTTTGTAAACTCACACCTTAGAGCGAAATTTTTCCTTTCAAAATTTGATGAAGTCACTGATAACTTTTGAAAAAAAAAAAAAAGAAAGCTCGAGGTACACCTAATCATTTGTTTTGAGTTGTGAATATAGGACAGCATGCAAGCCGCTCGTTCGCTCCCTTTGTCGTCTGCTGCGTACTAGCGGCGCGCGCGCTTCGGGATCTCGGAGGCCGTGGCGCAGCGGCCAATGGAACCGAAGGCGCCGGAAACCAGGAGCCGTTTTCACGCGCTTCAAACTGATGACGTCAGCTCTCTCCATAAGACCAGTTAATGCCTTCGCATTAATAACGGTTTCTGCTGAAACTTCGGCAGCTGTCTTGGATCGCTACCCGGTAGGTTTGGGCGAAGAACAAACGTTCGGCAATGCGTAGTATATTCTTAAACCAAAAAAAACAAAAAACTTGTAAATTATTATTTTTTTTTTTTTTTGGGGGGGGGGGGCGGGGGGGGGGGGGGGGGAATCATGTATAAACCACTCGCCGCAAACACCGGCAACCCTTATTTGTTGCCGTTTGAAACCGAAGCAGAAAAGGCGATCTCGTAATTTCTTTTGAAAACAGTAATCACTCTTTTTTATTTGTTTCGCGAACATAAAATTTTGCAGAATAAAAGACTACCCATGGCATGGAGAAACAATTTTACAACAATTATTCAACGTGACAATCATCTGTCCAGCCAGTGAACAATCAAGAAACTGAGCTCAGCTAGCTAAGTAGCTTTTGTTACGGGTTTAGCCTAGACTAGAGCTTCCTTCACCTAAATTGTGTCTAAGGAAGTAGATATAAACGATAAAGTTATTGTTTGTAGATTTTTTTAAAATAAATATGTGCCCTATTTAAGTTTTTTTTATATATTTTGCATTTCAGTGTTTGTTTAATTAAGTGAGCGTCGACGGACATATTCAAATGGGGATTAGGAATGTCTACGCCAGTTTACAGATGTGACTCTTTGAAAAAAAAGGGGGGGGGGGGGCAGTTTATACCCTACCGCACGACTGCTATACACCTTTTCCGTCTAACCTCGACCCAGCGCGTAACGTGCGTAGCCTCGACTCGGCGACTCGGCGACTCGGCGCACAGCGGGAATAGTTCTTCCGGTTCTAACACTTCCGGTATGCGGGAGCAGGCCTAGCCGGCTGGCAAGATGCTGAAGTGGTGCGCGTTAAATGGGTTTTGAATCCCTTGACAGCGAAGTGAGTTGTAATAAGGTGGGTTAATACGTCGATGTATCATGTCCGCGCATATTCGGTTATCGGGCTGCCACTGCGCAATAGTTGGCTGCAGCAGCAATTTCCGAAAACGGAAGATACCGCGCGACAAATTGTGGACCGAACACAAGAAGTCGCAAAGCGAATGCGGCTGTAACGTATACATTTTGCATCGCTTCCCCTCTGATATCAGCGGGGAAGCTATGCAATATCAGCACATAAAAAAAGCAAATAGGCAGTATAGAAACGGAAATCTACAAGTGCAGTAATAGGCCTCGACAAGTCAAATGTAGAACGAATTTTGCAGCTTGTGGTGCAAAGGTGCAAATGTAAGACCCTGGGTGTAATGATTGTTATTGGCTACTCAAGTTTTGTTTTTCATTCCGTTCATTCCTACGAGGATGTGCACTATAATTTTGTGTGTCGCTTGGTAGCGACGCCCGTTAAAATACGTTAACGGAAACAATACGAAAAGAGGGCGCAAAATCGTCGTCGTCCTCCCCTCCCCCCCCCCCCCCCCCCCTTTTACCCCCATCTCCTGAATAGTTCCGACGCATCTGGGCGTCATACAAAGTAGAGACGTCCCGGTAACTAGCGATCGTACCTCGACGGTGCACCATAACAATAAACCGTTCGGCCCGCGTCGCCAACTCCCATTGTGAGTATTTCTACGATTAAACGATGATACTTCTATGCCCAGGGTCGCCCTCGCTCGCGCATAGAAACCCTCCGTCAGTCATTCGCAGAAGGCTGTCATTCTTCACAAACAAAAACACGCGAAGAGTAAACACTGGTAAACGTGCTCAGGAAAAGTGAACATGCCTCCGATTTCGATTACCGGCGACGCTGGCGACGAACCTCTTGGCGCTGTTGGCGCAACAACAGGCGCCATGAAGGCGAATAAACACGCCAGAACACAGGAATAATTCACACTTTCAATACCAAACAAATTAAGAACTCACTAAAGGGAAAACAATGAAGGTACGATGCACGGGGTCAATGGAGGTAACGCGGGAGCTAGGAACAACGCTGCTTTCCGCATACCGAAATGGGCGCACAACAACCGTACGCCAGACGGCGCGGCTATCGCTGCAACACGCAAGATGGCGACGATTACGCGGAAAAGGTGTATAACTACTGAACTAAGAAGGCGGTTGGCACTCGCGACGCCCTGCCTTTCTTAAGTTATCAGATGCTATAACATGGCGTTTCTTTGTTTTATTTTCAGTCACATTGCTTTCCAAGGGGATGGACTTTACTCCCGAAACTAGTTTTTGCATATATATGGAGGTAAGCAAAATGTTAATTCGCCCAGGGGTATATTGTAGTATGTCGAATCTTCTGGTCTCTGCATATTCACTGACTCGCGTGATCGATACTCCCACACACTCGCCAGTGTCCTCCATTTTATGTAATGCCTTCTTGGTAGCTGTGTGTATAGCCATCGGCTAACGAATAAAACAATTGCAGTTTTATTTTAAAGTGTTTAGAGAGAAGACGCGTATGCCAGAAATGAAAGTCTCGCCTCTCCTCTCCCGTCCTCCTAAAAATAAAACAACAACAACATATAGCGCGTTGTTTACGTTGCGAGATTGTTTTCACCAAATCCTAGGAGTCCTAAGTGGAAATTGAGACCCTGGACGTAAATGTTACGAACTTATTTTTATTCGGGCAAAGTCCATTCTATGACGTGCGTTTCACATCCAGGCATAAGCTTTTATTTTTCTGCGAGTTGAGATGCTTTTAAGACCAGACATTTTACAAAACTTTTCCTTAATTTTTTTAATTATGGAACTTATTTTTTTTTATTTATGTTTTAGAAAGAGATTGCGGAGAGGCGCTCTAAAAGGTTTTATTTGTGTCGTTAAGAAGCGCCGATACGTTCTACAGTATATGAGTTACATATTACACGTACGTAGATATTTATTTCCGTTGAAAATGATACGAACCGACATTCCTGGCCCACAAATTCGGCATTCAGTTGGATTTCAAGGGGGCTGTTAGGCAATCATCAAAAACGCATCTGTGTATAAATAGATTCAAAATATTTCATAGTGAAAACATTACACACGATGGTTTCACCTTTTACGTAAGTTTCATTAACGCGACAGGTTTGAACATCATGTTTCGTGGCAACGCTACATCCCGACACAGTGTTTCCAAAGAAGCCCGCTTGGCGCACACCAGGTGCGGGCACTGCGCTCACGCAGAAACCGAATTTGGGAGTAGCGTTTGAGCATGCGCAGTACCGACAGAAAGCGCCACCGCGGGGTCGTGACGTCAGTGAGCGTAGTTGGTCTAATGCCTGCTTCACATGACGTCCGACCGCAACGACGGCTACCATTCGATACACACGATTGAGCAGCGGCAAAACGAATGATCGTATGGCGCTCGCCGTCATTGAGCGTTTTCTATTACCGTCTAAAACAATAACGCGCACAAAATGCGCACTAATCCTGCGCAGGTTTCTTTTTTGGCTTAATGTGCAGCGCTAGATCGTCCGCTTCTTTTGCAGTGGTTTTGGTGACGTCAGAAAGACACCGACCTCTGATTGGTTCTGAATAATGGTAGTGGGTAGAACTCAAGGCAGCTTGCTTTGAGGTCTACCCACTATCATCTAATCAGAGCCAATCAGAGCTCGGCCTCTTTCTGACGCCACCACAACCCCTGCAAAAAACGCAGACGAACTTGCGCTCCGCGTCGTTGGTCTAGCCGGTGAGATCAAATGCGCAGACGACGAGCGTCATGACGATGCACTTTTGACATTGATTGATTGGCCCTATCGGTTCGTAGCGATTGCTGCGGTCCAACTTAATAGATATTTAGTAGATCGTCCCGATGACTCTGATAACGCCACCCGATACTCCGCCACCGCCTTTGCGCATGCATCGTATTGGTATCGAATGCCCTTATCGGCAGTGACTTCCCTACACACCTTCTAGGGGGGGGGGGGGGGGGGAGTGTACATCCCCCCTCTTATTTTTTCGAAAGCACGCCCTTAATTCGCAACAACTCCTCTATTCTCAATGCTCCCCCCTTCTCCCTAACCCTCCCCCCCAATTTCAATTCCTGGGGAAGCCCGTGATTATCGGAAGTGTCGTAACGATCTACTAAATCTTTCTAATGTGAAGCGGAGTTTAGTACAGTTATCGTTGGCTCAAAAAACGGGAAATAAACGTGTGTTCTTCTTCTTTCTAGGATTGTGCTCCTCGGATATCGAAATCAGCTAGAGCTGTCTTCGTTAAATCTGCTCGGTGAAGACCTAAAAGCCTCCAGGGTTTCGGCGGCTTTTCGTGAGGCAACGACCAAGAAACAAATATTCAAGTAAGAGGCGTTCGACGTATAAAAGAGTCAAAAATTAGCGAACGTAAACCTTCGTAGGTATTGAAGTGAGCGCCCTTGTGGAGATTAGCAACATAAATGAGCTAAAGTTACTCTCTATGGTCCCACGAAAAATGACATTAGGTGATACGGGTTATGGTTGATACGATGTCTTCGATGTCTTACGAATGAATGTTGCGAGTCATTATACTTCATTTTATTTCTCAAATTAATTTTAGGTTTTTAATAGTGTGTTCTGACGTATTATCGAGCAAAAACGATTTCAACAATTAAGGTTCCAATGTTTGAATTGTGGTGGGTAGCTCACAAAGAGCCCTATTTACGAAAGAAGTAATGACGCAAATCTTAAACTTAAATGTTGCGTCGCCCTTCTTAATTTTTCTAGAGTGTCCTATATCTATACCGATTACAAGTCACACGTCGGAACGTCAATATGAACGTAATGTTTTAACTTGGACATAGGTTTCATGTAAACAAGGGTTCATGCTGGGAACCTATACCTAACAGATTGCGCTTAAATCGCGAGCTCTGTTTTTTTTTTTTTTTTTAATGACCAATTAAGCAACAAACGGCCAACAACCCACGTTAAGATTTTATTTTTAACTTTCCTAACACAGAAATAGTGATATCTTAGAATATATTATTTTCAAGAGTGCCCTTCATCTCGTAACTGCTGCGCATAAAAAGTCCGAGGACGCCATAGTTTGTGCACGCACTCTGAGCGTGCATTGGACGATAGGATTACGCCAGCGTTCGGCGTAAACTCGGCTCAGTTCCCATTGGAAACGAGTGCTGACGTCAGTGTTCGGCGAGGAATCGGACCCAATCACGCGCTTCGTGCCCAAGAAATGGCGACCGCCAATGTTGCTTGATGGAGTTTCGAGAAAAGTATAATGCGTTTTTTTTTTCTTTCGAAGGAAACATGTGGATGAAGGGGAAGCAGTCGTTTACACATTTGATCAAAAGAGGCGGTCACTTTCGGCACTTCTGTTCGAAGTATGCCACTGGGAAGTATTTGCATCAGCAATGATTCAATCCTGCTGGGTTTTAAATAACTTCCTTCCTCCTTTGATGCTGGGGTGAGTAGTACTGACGTAGCATTTTGCCATAGGATATATCTAAATGACGAGAAAACCATGTTTTCTTTTTTCATATATCGTTAAAATAAGCTGTGCATCACCAAGCGCTCAGAGTTCTTCTAATGTAGCGCTAGCAATCCGGACCAAATGCCAAAGTGTCTTGCGAAAGAGCTAATTTCGTAGATTTTCTTTGAGGAAATGGGCGCTGTTTAAATAGCGGCCTTCATTCCCCTTCTTGTATTCGCGATCTTTGTCGGTCGCCGTTTTCTCGAAAGAAATTTTTGAAAATCGCTTATTAACTTTTTGGTTTGGGTAACTAAAAGTCTTAAAATTTAAACATCTTGTCCCAATCGCGATTGGGCAGCATCTTTTGCTAGATTGAGCGTTCGGTAATGCGTAGTTTATGTTGCGCTATCTTTGTTCCATATTCAAGTGTACACACTTAAAATTTTTACACCCTTATTCGTGTAAATGGCTCGTCCTCTGGCTAACGCCTTTATTCGTGTAAGGGTGTTAGCCGCCGGAGGTGGTGAAAATCGTGTTAACTGCTAACACCCTAAAAACAATATGGCGGCCAGTATGCGACAGGCGATACGAGCCTGGCGAGCCGTACGCGGCTTCTCGCCGGAGCAAGAGCATACGGCTCGCACGCTCGTTTGGTGTCATCTGTAGGCGCAAAACACTTTCCAAATATCTCTATGCCCAAGCGCCAACACCGCAAATAATACGAGTAAGGCCGAAACCGCTGGAGACTGAACAGCCGAGACTGTCACCGAAGTCTCGCTCGGCCTGCTCAATGCCGGTCGCATTTTCATCGCATCAGAAGCGCTTATAAAGAAGGGATAGCTTTACAAAACACTGACAGGCTGGCTTTATTGAACAAAATGCCCACTTGCCGTGGACGACAAGTTGACAACGAATCGCTCCGACACCCTCTGTCGACAGCGGCTAGGAGGTATCGCACTCGCGCTCCGTGTGGCTCTCGATTAACTATTGCCTGTGCTCACCTCTGTTAGTGCGTTATCCACTCATGAACGTTTGTGCGTGAACAGCGGCATTCAGCACCTAGAACACGCGCTGGGGAAGCCGCCTAACCTCCTTTTGTTGCAATCAGGCAGCATAACACGACGACACAGCTACCAGATGGAACCGAACAACTCGGAGCGATGAACACGACGGATGGACTAATGGCATCCAGCCCTCTAATAGTTATAGATCACCAACCGCCACACTTTTCAAATTGGGCGGCGACAACCTCCATCTAGCGACACAAAAAAAAGGGATCAACATTTGAAAAAAGAAAACCAGTTTTTTTGCTGCCCGCCGCGCGGTTACATCTACTCACGACATGGACATACGCATAACACTGTACATACACACGGGGATACAAGCACCGATCAATTGCACAACACACAACAAATAGTACATACATCCTACTTTTTTCTTTCTTTATTGCCGGGTTTTTTTACATTGTCAAATAGGCATGGCATATCGCTCAAACCATAGGAAGCAGGGCAAGGCTAAACTAAACCAGTCCGAAGTGACTGGCGTCGGAGGCTAAAATTGTTTCATGGACAAAAGTGCCTCAATGCGCGGAAGCCACTCAGGCTCGCACTTCTGTGCTCTGTTGACTTCAACTAACAAAGATACACTTTCACGAAAATATTCCCGCGCCTCCCGCACATTATTGTCAGCGTTGTGTACAGCCATTCGGGACTTCCAAATACTGTGCAGATCCAACAGCATAACCAGGTCAAAGGAAAAACCTTCCTCGTTTTTAACCGATAGATAACGGATTCCATGCGCATCCAGGGGGAGGTCCTTCTTCAGGGTACGTTGGAGGACGTCCCAGAAGAAGACCCCATCCCAGCACTCAAGAAACACGTGTTTGACCGTCTCTGGCTTCTCGCATAAAAAGCAGTGATCCCCCCACGGTACAAAAAGTCCCCTCTCGTTCAGCCATGTCTTGACCGGCAGTGTACCTGAATGTAATGTAAAGAAGAAAGTCTTGGTGCCTGCGGGCACCACCATACGCTTAACGCGCTTCAAGACATCTTGCCCTGGGCCTGCACAGTATAAGGCTCTGTATAGAGGTACAGGAAACACAGTATCGCACACAGCCTTATACAATCTTTTCCGAGGAACCTCACTCAAATACCCAACTGAAAAACGAGATAACAGAAATTTACATGAGGCAACAACTTCCTTTAAATATCCGTGAATACCACCCGACATCGATGACGTGGAAACAATCAACTCAGGCAACCTGCTTGCAACTCTCACTTGACAAAGGGTGCGCAAAAAGGGGTAACTTATGTCCCGAAAATACATAAACCGATTAACAACCTGACGTAAAAACAAATGCGTCAAACTAAGCCCCCCATTGCGTACGCGCCGGAAAAGATTCGTCCTACTCGATCGCTCCCACGTGGAACCCCAAATAAACACTGCAAATACCCGGTGCAATTTCTGCACATTTACCCGCGAACAATGCAAAACTTGTAGAACGTACCACAGTTTGCTGACAAAAAACAAATTGCAAACTGTGGCCCGTGCAAAAATAGACAGATCATACCTCCGACTTTTTTCTACTCTTTCGCGAAGCTCCATTACCTGCCGTCGCCAATAGGGTTCGCTATCGCGATAATTTTCTAGAGGCACTACCAAATATTTTACGGGGGTGGTCACCCACTGCATGTCGGCAAACGAACTAGGAGTAGAGCTCCACTCTCCATGCCAAAATCCCAGGCACTTGGCCCAGTTAACAGAGCTGGCACTGACTTCGCAATAACGTTTAAGCGTGTGAACGACTTGAACAATACTCTCGCGGTTGGAACAAAACACTGCAATATCATCAGCATACGCTAACACTTTAACTTCGGTCGCATGAAGCTGAAAACCACTGATAGTACTGTTTTTAAAAATACTAATGCAAAGGGATTCTATGTAAACGCAAAAAAGAAGTGGTGACAAAGGACACCCTTGGCGGACGGATCGATTCACTTTTATACGTTTTCCAACCGACTTGTTCACCATAAGTCTCGTCGAGCAACCGTTGTACGCCATGCTGACACCTTCACGGATAACAGCGCCGACGTTTACATGATCGAGAATGGTTAAAAGCAGGTCGTGAGGCACGCGATCAAAAGCCTTTTCCAAATCTACCTGGAGCATCGCAACGCAAGTACGCATTGCGTCGCAACACTACAGAACACTGCGTGCTTTGTGGATGTTGGTGCAAATAGTCCTTCCTTTAATGCCGCAAGTTTGATGGGGCCCTACTATTTCCGATATTACAGATTGCAATCTCCTTGCTAAGATCTTCATTAAAATTTTGTAGTCGACATTAGTCAGACAGATCGGCCGATACGCTGTGACGTGCTGCAACTTAACTGCGTCATCTGTTTTGGGAATTAACACTGTGTGCGACGACATAAAAAATGGAGGCAACATATTCAAATCATATGCTTCATTGAATACCTTGGCTAGGACTGCGGCAATCTCGTGCTTCTGAGTCTTATAAAAAACTGCACTTAGGCCGTCTGGGCCAGGGGACTTTCCCGGGTTTAGGGCTTCTATTGCAAAGACCACTTCCTCTACGCTGATGGTCGATTCTAGTAATTCTTTCGTTTCGTCATCTATGCGCGGCATGAAACCCAAAAATTCATCTTTAAAAAGCTGGACATCTACTGGACAGGACGCAAATAATCTACTGTAATACTCGAAAAATGCGAGTTCGATTTCTTCCTTATCGGTCGTAAGTGACCCGTTCCTCTCTACCCCCGTTATCTCGTTACGCCGAGCATATCTTTTCTCGAGGCTCAGCGCACGCTTAGTTGGCGCTTCGCCTGTTGACCATCTTTCGGCTCTGGCTCTAACAATCGCCCCACAATATCGTTCCCGATCTAGAATCTCGAGTTTATCTTTCACACAAGAAATATCATCTTTGTATGCCCCAGGCATTTTAGTCTCTTCCTTTAGCAGTATCCGCAAATTATTACGCAATAACATTTCGTTGCTCCTTTCAGTGCTTTTAAGTACGCCTGCCCGCTCTAACGCTTTCATTTTTATTTCCTGCTTAAAAAGCTCCCATCTCACACCATACCCTAATTTTTTCTGGCTCTCCAGTGTTTCAACTGCGGCCTGCACTTCGGCAGCGAAAACGTCATCCTCCAACAGTTTCGCGTTCAATTTCCATAATTCCCAGCTGAAGACTTTCCTGGCTTGGGATTTACTACGCATACAAAAAAAAAACTAGACAGTGATCACTGAAGGAAACAGGGTGCACGCGATATTCAAAACATAATGGTATCAAATCTAAAGAAACGTACGCTCGATCTAGACGGGCGGGACTCGACCCTTGGAAATGGGTGTACTGGATTTCGCGGCCATTCCTCAAACATTCCCCGACATCATCAAAGCCGGACTCGTTGATTAACCTCAGAAGGCTCTCGGTGCTTAAATCGCGATAGGGCGTTGAGCTGGACTTGTCCCCAGCAGAGCAGACGCAATTGAAATCGCCAAGAAAAATAATAAGGCGATCACTTTTGCAATACTGATGCATGAAATCAAAAAGCTCCCGCCGCTCATCAACCCTATTGGAGGGGTACACACAAATGACCCTCCAATCATACGATGAAAGAGAAAAATTACATACAACAAAGCGCCCTGAATCACATGTCGTCACCGCCTCGACTGTTGCACCCAAACTCTGGCGCACTAACAACAAACAGCCCGCTGACGACCCAACCGCGTGACTAACACACACTTCGTAACGCGCCGAAAAAGGTCTAACCATGAAGTTGGTCTGGTCCTCACTCTCGACCTTGGTCTCCTGCACAGCGATGATGTCGAGGTCCTGTTCGACTGCTAGACGGCAGAGTTGCCTCTGCCTCCTGCGATCTGAGAGGCCTCGGACATTAAGGGTCGCTACTCGGACAGGACTTTGTAAGGAGACCATGGGTTAGTGAGGACCAAACCGCCTACACTGCCGTTCACTG